TTATAACAGAGACGTCTTTTCTCGCCAAACAACGAAGCCGCCTTCTTCAGGAATTTCTAGTCCTCACCCCTTTTATTCATTCGGGATTACTATTTAACGCGAACCACATCAATGACACTAGTGAGAGATTAATGGAAAAATGGATCAAAAATGGCCCATCATTGTTTGTGGAGCAGCCAAGCAATCCTTACAATTTTCAAAGATAAATAAAGAGACAACTGGCGCATCAGGGAAGGTTAAGTTTCTAATAAAAACAGCCACTATTGAGATAAACATCACACTGTTGATGAATTACGATCGCAAAAACATCTTTATTTAAGTAGAAATAATTATCCAATTTCGCTGTCTATCAACTAATCTTTAGAGATGGAGTGAGTGTCACCAATCAACCATTTCAAATTGGTGAATAAACGAAAAGTGATTTACAAGCAAACAAGGCGACAGAATTTCAAAATTAAAAAGGACTCTTAATAACTAATCCCCTTTAGTTGCTGATGTAGTTTGTGAAAAAATGCCAATTAATACGTTCCCCAATTGTCCATGGCAGTGAAAAGTGCTTTTAATTATGGGATAGTAGCCAAATGAGGTGACCGCCAAAGTCGTTTAAAACGATACAAAATGGGTGAGAAGCGTTGAGAAAAGCCAAATTACGAAATCAGGCCAAGCATTACGAGAACCTTAACTTTCCTGCATTCACTCTGGAAATATTATTCTTGGAGCAATATCCTAACCTTAAATTTTAGTTATTGAGCTTCGGTGTACGTGGATGAGACAGCATTGAAAACAATCAGTGAGTATTAACTTGCTGGTCATATTCCTTGGGTTAATTATTTTATAGCCCTAACAATGGAGATCAAGTGAATATGTTTCAATTTCGAATAGGGAATAATGCGAAATTGAGCTCAAAAGTATTAATGTCTATTTCAGGATTGAAAGTTTTGTGCAATTTTTACTTTTTTACACTAAACATTGTGCTGACAAGGTACTAAGCAAATAACCAGGTTTGAAACAAGAAGGAATAAGTAAAAAGACCAAACACCGTATTGATGATACTCAAATGAGACATATGAGAGGGTGGGTGGGTGGGGGGGGGAAGGAAGGAATACACAGTAAATGAGATTAGAGCTGCAGATAGATTGTATTATCTGTAGCGCCTGACTGAAGGGGTTAACCGGTAGGATTTGCACTAATACGGGCTAAGCATATGTGTTAGGGACAAGAAGGAACATTTGGAGTCAGGCCAGGAAACATTTCCTACCTGAATTTAAATGGATAGAGTCCGGAGATCGTAGAAGTAGTTGAAAGACGGATGAGATCCAGATCTGGAGGTAAAACTAAAGGTGCGATCATTTAAGTGTCAAAAATAAGGCGAAGTATTGTCTGATGATCCCACGAATCTCCAGAGATATGTTTTTATTTATATGAATGGCAGGCGTTCTGATAGTTATCATTGCCCTTTAGTTGACTTCAGGCTTCACAGAGGGGAAGGAACATCAAAGTGGAAAAAAGTCGAGAGTGGGGGGGGGGACAGAAGAGTGCTTCAAAGACGAAGGTAGAAAAAGGTGTGGTGAGTACTGTGAAAATAGTCGAATATGACATACAATGGGGTGAGGGTAGTTTGAAGTGAGAAGTCAACTGCCCATTGATAGAATTTTTTGCCGTATGAATATATCGAAAGCCGAGTGATAGACTTTTTTGCCGTAAGAAAATACGCTGCCCAGGGTGCACCACGTGGAGGTAAGTCTATCGCACACAAACTTCCGGTTAATAGACTTTTTACCGTATGAGTATACGTTTCCCAGGGTGCACCACGTGGAGGTAAGTCTATCGCACACCCACCAGGGTACACCACGTGGAGGTAAGTCTATCGCACACCCCTCCAGAGATATGTACCCGTTCATATCCTTTAACGCCTCAAATCATTTTATCTAATTCACTACAATTATGTTCAAATTCATTTTCCATTTTTTACGCGGGTAGATTTATTTTTTCAAGTTCTTGCACAAATTAAATTATAACAAAGTTGGCGATAATTTCATTTAGGCTTTACATCAGTTTAACAGTGCAAAAAAGGTGCTACTGTTGTAAAAACAATCTCTAGACAGCTGACTTTATCGCAAAATGACGTGATTAAAATACATATTTATCTTTTTTGGAGATCATAAATTCTCCGAACATGGGCACATGCAAAGTGCATTGTTATATTGGTAAAGAGTGACAAAGAGTGAATTTGGGGAATTTACGCTCCTCTTCAAATGGAGCAAAATATTTTGAAGTTTTGATCATGGGGTGACATCTAGACAGATGTGGAATAGATGCATTTCAGAACGACAAGAAATGATGAAGGCAAACAGAAATTTAGTTATCTTGAACCCTTTTCTGCGTGCATGTCTTTGCAACTTCCAAAACAGATAATGATTCACTCTCAAGTTTTCTGGTTGGGTTCAATTCCGCAAAAATCATGGCTCTTTGAACAACGTAAATACTGATTCACAGCTTTTCATTTACCACTGTTTTTAATTAAAAAGAAAACTCAGATGCCAAATACCGTTTAATCTTCAATGAGAAAGTACTGACTTTGAAATAACCAATTAGATTTCGGATACAATTACCATTTCCAGCTTGCTAGCCTCGTGACTCATTTATTCATATTAAATCGAAATACGACTGGGTGTTTTCGTGACCTATATATATAATAAAAGGTTAAAGAGAATTTCCATAAATGACCAAATATTTGATAATTAACTTTGTGTATATCTAAGTGAATGCTTAATGAGTAAGTTGGCCTTGGAGAAAATTTATCCACTTCTGTCTTTCATCATTAATTAAAAATTTTTTTAGGACATTGTGAATAGTCCAATTGCTTCACGCATTAAATTTGACATTTTAACGTAAAAAAAATACACCAATCGTTTAGGACTGACTTTGAGCATATTTCAAGAACCCAATAATCGATTTAGACATACGGACGACTTAAGTGAGCAAATATAACAAAATATTGGGGAAACTGATGGTTATCAAGGAGTCGTTTAGTAACTTTTGGTCTCAATCACAATTAGTTATCAAGTTTGCCTAACAACTTTTAATTTTCTTTGCTAATACTTAGACTACCAGCCATCATTTTTTTTTAAAAAATACCTACATTCTTTGCTCTATTCCTTGACAGCCTCATTTATTCTACTTCACCACATTCCTTTGAAGATGTAGTTACCCGTTTTTAAGATGGAATCTTCTTTTCAAAAAAGCATTTTTTTCAACTGATATGAAGACACGTATAGAAAATAAAGAAGCAGAAATATTTTAAATTTGTACTTTTGATAAATGAGAACTCAACTCGTGTATTTAAAAATAAGCACTGAGGCAGTCATATTTCCATAGCATCTTAAATCCAATTGCAGTCGCTACCAAGTAGGCACTTTCTTTCTTCAGCGATACAAAAAATGCCAAACCGTGAGAATTCGCTGGAACGATGTTTCGATTGGAATGTTACTGCAGAAAAGATTATCCTCCTTTCTAGTGCATAGGAAACATTTCTTAGATTATTCCATTTTTTTACTAGACATTTTATTGCTTCGTAACATAATTTAGAAAGTCTGGTATTTAAAGTTGTATTTTAATTATTTACTTCCTTTTTCCCATAAATAAATTAATGTGTTAAGTTAGATAATGTAAGGCAACACATTTTTTGGGAGCAAGATAAAATATTTGACTTGAAAATACCTTTCAAACCGAACCTTTCTTTAATTAAAATTGGTAGGGCATTAATTCACATAACCTCGAGAGCAGTAATGTTTAATGGAAGTGAATATTCGTCAAAGTTACTCATCTGTTCTTTGTGCAGCAATATTTTAGACTACCAGCGTCCCGAAGTTTTCGAATCTTAACTCACCTTAATTAATAAGGCTAAAATCCAGTAGATCGCTAATTAAATTAATTTTAAATTCAAATTGCTCAGACCTTCTTGTTCAGGTAGCTTAAATTGCTTCACCACATCGATTGTACATAGTAATTAATAATTTTCAAATGGATGCTATGATTAGTTAGATTATTGATTCTTTATTGTTGGAATCAGCTAATAAATATTATTTATGAAGAATATAATTATTAGTATTTCTATAAGGTTTTTATTATTAACTTAATCCTTTAAAAAAACGCTATAAATTATTTTTCTAATCAAATTTATTGCCCTGGATACATACCACGTTTTAACAAATTTTTACTGCACAATTTTTTAATATGAAAGATAATGTATTACTAATATATTCTTTTATTTCATAAGACGGAATTCACAAGAATCTGACAAACAGATACATGACTACAACTCTGGGATTGTGTAAAGGAAAGATAATTGAATTTGCTAAAAATTGGTCTCTGCTAATCTTAAAAAAGTTAGCACTTATAACCTTGCAAAGTATATCCCAAAACTGAATGACAAAACTTCCAAATTAACCAGGCGTTCGGCGAGATGGAATATTATATGAGTGAATTTTCCCTTGAGCCTATGCAAGAATTCTGACAGGTGCAGTTAATTTTAGTAGAATATAAATATGCAAAATCAAAAGAAGTAAGCGTTTTTTACCATACATCTTCCCAAACCACCCACCCACCCTCTCCTGAATCTTGAGTTGGACTTGTTCGCCTTTTCGTTTTGACAAATACAGTTGTTATATAATATTTGACCTTGCTGTGAGAAAAAGATAGACAATTCAGCACAAATGTACATTTCACTTTGCTTTGCCCATTAAATTTAGTCGATTTCACTTTCTTTCAACACTGGGAAAATAAAATCAAACTTTAACTACAATTCATTTTTGACTACTTTAAAATTCAATTTCGGCATAAAGGTTAGATTTTATTTTGAGTGAAGACCATTTACTCTATTTTTCAGTTTCTTTACTGGTCTACGTTTCCCCGTACTTTATTTATCACTTTGAAAAAAAATAACTCGTGTATTTTCTTTCATCTTGCCTAAATAGATCTCCTTAATACCGGCACTCTCAATGGGCACGAAAAAAGTACAAATGCTCATTTGCACTCTCTTGGTATTACTCAGCGCTCGGACACACTCGAGATTCATTACCTCCACTTCCGCACCTTCGCTTTCTCGAACAATCAGAGCCGATGAGAAGTCGGAGATTACGGAGTTAATTCAACAGCCCGAAATCTGCAAGGAGTTTGTGGAATCCAAAGTGAGTCCCAGAGGCACAAAGGGCGTTTCCCCTGCTGATATTTTTTATAACCTCACAATCGGCAAGGATTTCACCACCTCTGGTCGGAAACCTGCTAAAAGCTACGTCTTTCAATCACCCAATTTTCCTCGTGAATATCCTATGAATATCGATTGTTTTAAGTTAATTAAAGGTTTGTTACTTCATGCTTTATTGAATACTACTAGCATAATTTGCTATCAACACAAATGCGTTATTTTTTATTGAAATAATAAAATAATACTGACGAATAAATAAAATACATTCAAATTCAAATTACATAATAAAAGCACTCAAATACATAAATAATTTAGCATTTGCCTATTGATTTTACAAAATATTATGATATATGCCTATGATATTCAAACAGTAGGGGTTTATTAACAATTTCGGAGAGAAACTTGTTCAATTAAGGCTTTGAGGTCAAAGTTTCGTCTATTAATCGTTTCAGAGTTGGTGGTAGTTTCGTTTATTTGTTTCCTTTTGTCACTTCAACGAGAAGTGCATCATCTCAGAGATCACCAATGATAACTAAAAGCATCCTTTAGCACATCAAAGCTAGTAAGGCATATAACCAAAAAGTAGGTTCACGAAATTCTTGATCATTGTTTAGATAATGGAGCAGTGACGTCCTCCACCATGCGTAATTGCTCTCTTTTCCTACATTTAATTTTACTATTCATTTACACAGAGTCCGCAGAGAAGGAAAGCGTGCCTTGATGGACTGTAATTTGCCGAGGTGAACAGACCTAAAGGAAGATTTCCTTTGAGTCTTAATTGATTTACCTTAGCTGTAGCTGAGTGCCCACTATCATTCTAGTTCTGTTATACCTCCATGGACAAGTTCTAAGGAGTGCCACGGGTACTACATTGATTATGAGTAAGTGTGGAACCAAATGGCCCGTGAAAGTATATTCTATTTAATAAAAATGGTATTGTTATCCAAATTCTGTTAATACAGTGCATTTGGACGTGAATACGTAGTTTAGTCAGGCAATTTCTATTTTCATAGGAATCTCCCATAAAAGCTCCTTATGAGTGAATAAATTTTAAAAATGCACGATTACACAAAGGCACTTAACCCTGGGAGGTAAAGTGATTTACCCTTCTCTTTGTAAATGTGAATTAAAATTTCCAGTAAATGCCAGGTATTATTAAACCTGAATTTCAACAAGCCAAACATTTTCCTATTTATTTAAGTACTCCGTTGCAAAAGGCAGTCATAAATAAGTGAGGGCTTACAGGGCTCATCTTGTAGCCAACCTTTCTTTCAAGTTATTGAAGCCACTTGGCTGATAACCATAATTATTGAATGCCAACGCGTATCGATTGCGTGATTTCTAAAATAAACGTGCACTTTGACCACAGCACTACTGATGCACAATCTTTGTACATCAATTAGGATTTCACTTTCTCAAGCTTTGCATTTTACCACCCATTAGAAATACCTCTGACGAATCGCAAGTTCGAATATCTAAGCCAGTCGAATGGCGTTCATTTCCTTAAACTCATATTCAATACTCCAGTAAGAAGTCAAAATCTCTCCTCTGCAAAACTGAACTTTGGAAAAGTTTAAACCAGAAAGTTGTAACATTCGGTGAATTTGCACTAGTGATCATTACCACCGTGATTAAGTGATCATCGTGATCACCACTATACTAACACATGCGTGACGTTAACTGATCTTCATCTCTTGATAAGTGTTCTCAGCTCTGGAACTCGCACAATCTACTAATTATTAATTATTGAAAAAGACATTAGATAGAAGTTTTCAAATTTTCTATTTCTCAGAAAAGGAAATTTTTAAAATGTGTTCCAATTCTAAAATTAAGTTGCGAAACTCACAATTTTACTATTGCATTCATTAAATTTTGAACAAGGATATTGTCAATGCGCCTGTTTATTGACAAGACATATCAGTATTCGCAGTTGTCTAATGAAATATGGACAGGTGTTTACTTAACTCAGCAACAAATATTTCGAATTATTACCAGTTAATTTTTCGTAGATGATAAATTCATTCACAACTTTATAACACAATTTATAAATACATAAAAGTCAAAATAGAAAACATGGATTTGGATTGAAGCAAATCGGAGAAAATTCGATTGCCATACAGGTCAATTGAGATATAACTTCCTAAAAATATCTCCAACTGTTTAAATATTTAAAAATGTTTGGTGCTATAGGCATAATATGGCGATCAGAATACTATTGGTTGAGGGCTAAAAAATGAAACTTATGAATTGAGTGCTCAAATCGATGCAAACTCGTAAAAAGTACTTCGAATGTGTCAAAGTCGCTGTGTCTAAAACGGTCTACCAGGCTATTTAAGAAACTACATGTAAATGTCAAAATTTTCAAGTGAAATTTCAAGCTGTACTCTCTACTCTCGTTTCAATATATTTTAGGAATAATAACTAAATATTCGTTAAATTGTTTGATTTCAGGAATAATTAGCTACCCCTTAATAATCACATGTCTCACAATTTACTTCATGCTTGTTTAATCATTTCTGATCGATTTATTGATTTATTAGAATACTAAAATTTTGTTAATGGCTTACTACAAGTAACATCATGGTGAGAGATTGTTTTAAAATTTCCCGTAGCCCCATCGGAAGATCATAGGATATTCCTACAAATTCTCCGACCATTTGCCGTTGAACCTGATGCACAATGTTTCCTGGACTTTCTTGAAGTACGCGACGGGGCATTCGGATTTTCTCCGCTTATTGGTCGATTTTGTTCACGACTCCCACCACCTGATGAGGAGATACGCTCGTCAGGTCGCTACCTCTGGCTTCGATTTCGAAGTGACAGTACCCTGCGTCATGCAGGTTTTCGTGCCACATACCACTTTGAGAGAGTCGGTACGTTCCCCTTTATAAATAAAGAAAAAATGTAAAAGAGATTCCAATTCTTCGACTTGTAAAAGCAACAAAAATTTTCCAGTAATGAGTGAAGAGTGGCTAGAGCCATTATATTTTAGAATACATCCGAAGCATCAGAGAAATCTTAGTTCCTTTAAAAAATGTAAAATGAGGTTAATTAATCGGTAGCATATTCCTCAATATTTAAAAATGTTAACATATAGAATATCTTAGATTGTTAGCACTCTCGTTCATTATTTAATGTAAAGACGCTAATATTCTTTAGTAAATCTATTTAAATTGATGATATAAAGATACACTTTAATTTGCAATATGGTAAAGATACTGTCAATGTTTGTATTTCCGATGGCGGAGAGGATGCTTTTCGGTTGTTGTGTTGAAAAGGGTACATGAAATCGATAAAATAGGACAAGGTAAACAGTTTTAGTAAATAGGAAGTCGTTGCGAACGTGGGCACACACGGTACTAGGGAAATCTGTAAGAAAAATTTTAATCAAAACGCCAATTCAAATGACCAATTTTTTGCGAAAGCCCACTTCATTAGGACATCGAAGCGCCAATGGTTATTTCATGTGACTACATCGCCTCTATTTGTTTCCTGCTAACTCTTCCTTCCACACACACACACACACACACACA